AATTGATTAACCATGCCTTATGCAAAATGCGTCTTATAATTGAAAAATAAAATATTTGTTTCAAAATAGAATATATGACAATATTTAAATATATCCTAGACTGACAAATCATCTCCGTTCAGAATCGTTTTTCGTATACAATGATACCTATCATTGCATTCAAATCTAACCTACCCTAACCAGAGGTCCAGTCCACCACCTAATGTACAGCAGAGCGACATCCACTTACCCACCTTTTTTTTTTCAGTGAACAGTTAAAAATTTAATCAGAGTTTGACGACAATTCAATACATATTTATCACTAAAAAAAAAAAATACTATTAGTTAAATTGACAAAATAGATTTGTAGAAAATTAACAAAACTRACATTTGTTATAATGACAATATTTTATCAAGATGACAGAAATATTATTTAATTAATAAACATATTACTGTAGTTGTTTTGTTAAATGAACAATGCATTGTTAATTCAATAATAATTAAAATATTATTTCAATGATATAAGTTTATTATAATTTATATTATATATTGTTAAATCAATAACTATATTATTTATCATATAGAACAATTATAAAACAATATAGTTAATTGTAACGGATTTTTATATGTATATAGTACCTATACCTATTAATGTTTGTTTTAATCGTCAGTTTGATTTCAATACCGATTATTTAAGAATTGCGAATAATTAAGCTAAAAAGTTTTTTTAGTTCACGTGTTCATTATTATTTACGTATTACCTATTGGTGGTGGATATCCGAAATGGACAAAATGGTGCAACTGGTGAGAGTAAATAATCAAACAAAAGTTTGTAGGCATACACAAATGTAAACGGAATAATAGGAGGATTGTTATTGATTATTATTTTATATTACATACTAATATCCCCAATACTCCGTTAACCCTCTATAGTTCTATACATTTTCAGTGAATATAAAATAAATTTGAAAAAAACTTAATTTGAAAATTATATAGAGCTCGTCATTCGTTACTCGCATAAGACGTGGGGCCGTATTATTCTGCAATTGCCGACTTCCGTGGGCAATGTGAGATATCTAGACACTCAAACTCGAAATTCAAACGTTCCCGCTTTCGGAACGCGATCACCAACACCGAGTCTTATCAAAACTTCTTATCACTTTGGAAAATTTTGTTTTTTAACCAACAATTACTTTTATTTGTTWAAAAATAAATACGACACTATCGTTTCCAGCCAACACCACCCACTCACAACGAGTCTCACGGGCCCCCGAGTTTCAGGACAGCGAGTTTCCGATGGCAGCTAGTTTGTTTATAAAACTAATACCAGTAAAGGTCGCCACACACTGCAACGGTAGCGGTGGTGGTGATGGTGGCGGTTACGGCAAAATGAAGCCGGACTCGATTTTACCGCCACCGCTGCAGTGTGTGRGGCGACCTTAATACTATAGTCTATAACTGATATGGATTATGACGTTGTAAACACTTTAGCCGATCTARTGAAAATCGTGTGTATTATTTTGGTGTATGTGGCTCAAAAATAGGACTGGTTATATAATGATTTATCCTGTTTTAGTAGTATAGATGTTAATAGCTTAAAAATATTATGCTTTAATAGTTTAATTATATAATCATTGAATCAAAAACGTTAGATATATCATTTATCACCTTATACAAATTWAAAAAAATATTGGTGCTCGTCTACTAATATGCTACTTACCATAAAATGGTATCTACCAAAAAACTGTATGCGTTTTATTTCATTTTATTACAGAAAAGTACATTTGAATCATTGAGATAAATAACATAATATTATAGCAGTTGTACAAAATGATATCTTAATTCTTAATACTTAATAGCCATTATGATATCGATCCACCAAGACTCATGATAACTTACTGTTAGATATATTATTTTAGTCTATATTGTGTTTGTGTTGTGTTCGTGTAAGTGTCCTATTAGTTGCGAGTTTTACTTTTTATTTTTTACTTTAAAATAAACAAAGATGAATAAATTAATGCGCTATTTGTAAGGCATGTAATATTTTGTAATGAGGAAACATGTRTTCATTATCTTCAAGAGAGAAACTTGTTCCCAAAACTTGGTATAGTATGATAGTTCCAAATTAAAAGATGCTGTTATTTGTGGAGGTACGTTGAAAGAATATCAAAAAATTTCATAAATTATTTAGTTATAAATTGTTGTTAATTTGTTATTATTTTACGGCAGGTTACTACACCAACGAAGTAGCGGTAGGTACTAGATACCATAATAGACGAGTACCAAAATATTTAATATAAATCATTTTTAACCAATTCGTAATAAATACGAAGTTAAACAAGTTTACAAATATAAAAAAGTGGCTTGGTGTATCTCGGTTTCAGATCACAAACGTATTCAGCTAACTACTATAACACCGTCTGGGGCCTCTAGTTTCCTGGTAGGTGACAACTAGATCAACAATAAATAGGTAAATAAAAAATGCAACAGAACGATAGTTGCAGAAAATTYGATAGGCAAAATGTGTCGAAAAATAATCGATCGTAAACGTAAAACAATAGAAATTACTAATAAATAGGTATAATAATTTGATGAGAATCACAAACATTTCTTGAGCAATAACAATTATTTATGATATGTTTCAAATAAAGCTTAATTGAGGAATAAAAATTATATTAAATATTAAGTTTACTTATGGTTATTAAATAAAATAAAGGTAATCGATATAAATTGTCGAATAAAGTAAATACAAAAAACATAAACATTTTAAAATTGGATCTTTTTTWTAAAACTTAATCAGTGGTCTTTCTAGATCATAGCGTCTATGAAGTATATAGAACTCCATGTTCTAGATACAGTTTTAGTCATCACCGCTTAACGCTGATATTGATAAGAATCAAAAAAAATAACAATGTTATTATGTGTGCATGTAGTGTCACTGAATAAAATTAAATAGGGATTACCTATTTACTACCTCTAATCTATTATAATGCATTATTAAAATTAAGACTAAACATTTTTAATATTTATTTTAATGTACAATATATTTTTACACAATACCATGTGGTTTATATGGTAAGAGATTGCAGTAATAACTTAAATCTAAATAAGACGATTTCATAGTGTACGAAACGCGCTCAACAAAAATAACATACAAATCAGGTAAAAGTGACTAAAATAATTTTGATTACATTCTCCAACCACGTATGACATATAATTCGCAAGTAAAAACATCAAAAATAATCATTTTTTTAAGAATACTTTAATGCGTTATAAATTACCGAATAACGTCACAGATATATGTACTATTTATATATACATATTATAATTATATAAATAGTGAACGTGAGTTCATAAAAATTGTCGACGTCCGAAAACTATTAAAATTGGTGAAAGTTTCAAGGGTAAGATACGGAAAAACGCGAGCCATAACATCTCCAAACGTAAATGCTGTATAGTAACAATAATATTGTCCGAACCGAATAACAGATAACCTAACGCAATAATATTATTTAAGTTAAAATATTATATTTTATYCGGCTGTGCACTRCAATGGTAGGAGTAGAAGATCGTGTGACGTTCAAGAGGGGTAGTCTGTGTCTCTTCTACTTAAACCCATTGAGGTGGTCGATGATCGGGACGAGCAGAATTGGAGCGCGACAGCTGTTCAAATGGCGAAACCACCCGGCATGGGCGGATATTCGTCTGGTCTCTTCTTAACGGCGCCRTTCTGGCCACGCGTGACCGGAAGCGGTGGCGGCGGTACGTCTGGCACCGAAGAGTCTGCCGGCCTGTTATTCTTGACGACCGGAACGTCCACGGGCCTGTTGTTCTTGATGGCCGTAGCGTCCACGGGTCCGTTGCTGTTGACGACCGCAGCGACGGGCCGTGACTCGTCGTGTTCTAACGATCCGTCGTCGGTACCAGACACCTCCACATCCGTCATTGACGACGGGTACGACGGAGCGGCCGCGTACTTCACTTGTGGCCATTCGTAAAGGAACTGGAAYGGACGGAACACGGGCATGACGATCGGTTCCGCTTGGCTGGGCAACAGGCGCTGATCGGTGGTGATTAGGGCGTTGTAGACGCGCGGCAAGCGGCCTGCCTTCAACACCACTTGTTGCGCGGCTCCAAGCTGGGCCGCAAACATGACTATTGCAACGACCACGACCACGGTCCGTACGTTTCCCCAGCCGACCACGACGTCGGCGGCGGYGATGCGGCGGAACCTCGCCGACTCGGTCACCTGTTTAACAGTCATCAAGAGATTAGTATAAGGTTAGATATTATAGTATAATATTATGATTTATTTGGTCGTGTTTATAAAAATCGACGATTTTCCATAGAGATGCGTATATATAATGATGTACGAGATCAATTTTCTGCTTTTAGRTTCTAACCCTCTGGAGTGATAATAATTATAATTATTACGTGCAGTAAGTGATAAAACGTTCTCACCGTCCTGGATAAAAACGTGTCAAAAGAATAGTTTATAATTTATAAAAAAAGAAAAAACTAAAAAAGAGAACAATTTTCCATTCACCCAATCGCAATGAAAGTCCCTGTATCTCTTTAAAGTACGTAAAGTTTATAAATACAAGTAATTTATAATTTCGCTATATACATAAAATACATTTACGAAAATTTCAAGTATCTGCGGTCATTTGTTTTAGAGTTAGGCCAAAATAAGATCGATAAATGAGAAATTTAGTGAAAATCCACCATTTAAATATGTTATATGTAATATGTTATGTAATTTGTAAAAATTTAATTTGAATTTCTAGGGGACATTTTTTTTCTTTTTTTTTGATAAAGATTGACAAACTTGTAAGGAATCTTATATTAAATTTTCAAATCTTATTTTTAAAAAGAAAATTTATTATGAATTTCTAGCTTAAAATAGTTTGCAAATTTTTGTGATTTTTACGTATTTTCAAAATTCAAACTTTGAATGCTTATAAAAAAAATTGTGTCTTTGTATTTCTTTTATTTTTCAACTGCTATTGTAACAATATGTTAGGAACCTTGTTAATAATAATTTTTAAGCTTTTCTACCCAACAAATACATTTTTATCGATATTAATTTTAAAAATAACTAATAATGATAGAAAATTTCAAATGCTTATGAATAGTTCAACTTAGGTCGAAAATTGCGCGGTGGATAGAATATACTTATTTAAACATTTGGTGAAAATGTCATGTATCTATGATAATTTGTTTTAAAGTTACATCAAAAACCAAAATCGATTTTCTTGAAAACTGATTGTGCGTAAAAATTCCCGTTTTTCCTTAATTTTTAGTTTGTTTATCCCTATAATTAAGAAAAATATTAGAAACTTTTCACTTTCTGATCGTACGAGGTATTGAAGTCGAAAATCGAAGCATATTTACTGCCCCAAAACGTGATTACAGACACACACACATCATAGTAAATTCAATACATTCCTTGCTCCGCTCAGAATCTAAAATCAACTAAATACAAAGTATTATGGTTTTTATATGTATATAGTTATGTTTATATGTTACTGGCAATGAAAACTTTCGGGCAATGTAGGCAAAATGAAACATTGCTTTGACTGTAGAGAATTGCCCAGTAAAGCTTGGACAATATAAACCGAAAGTTTTTATTTTATAATTATAAATCTTTCTAATCTTATCGATCTTATTAATAACTGTATTAGTTGAATATTATTACCTTAACTATTTATTGTTACGATAAGTATTACATTTTTYATCACAATTACATAAAACAAAAAAAAATATATGAATTATCAATAAAAAATTATTATCAAATTATAAATAATTATCAATATTGTTAATTACTTTATTAGTGGAATATTATAAACTTACAATTTATTTTTACGATTAGCATTACATTTTTGATCACAATTACCAAGGCTGGGAATTAACGCGTTGAGAATTTAATTTAATTTAAACTTTTTAACTTAACTAGTTATACATGGATTTTCATTATCTTAACTATTCACTTAGGCACTAAATTTACTTTTTAATTGACAAATTAATTTTTATTTAAAGAAATAAACATGGTATATTCCTAATCTATATGGACGATGCCACGACGGACACACTATGTTGCAAGTATTCTTGATATAGTCACCCCTGATCKTTATACCTATGACGATTCATTAATAACCTACGAACATTATTTTTAATTTTTATACTATGAGCCATTAGCTGAATTTCGTACCGTACTTGTAATAAAATACAATATGCATACGGTATACGTTGCGGGTTTACGTTTCTCGCATACTGCTAGAGCAACACACWCGTCATCATCGGTCATATTAAACATTCGTGATGGGTATTATATAGTCACGTACAATATGTCAATATATAGTTATTAGTATTATTACAAGCACACGTTATGTCGTGTGAACGTATTTTCTTAAAATCGTTATTTTTTTTTTCAAGTTTTTAACATGGTCTATTATTTTTGTAAATTTTAATCAAATAACGGCGAACTTAATGAAAAAATGTTTAGCTATTTTTATAGATATTCAGTGTATTACGTCACATTTAAA